CTTTTCTTTTCTTTTCTTTTCTTTTCTTTTCTTTTTTCTTTTCTTCTTTTCTTCTTCTTCTTCTCCTTCTTCTTCTTCTTTTTCTTTTTAATTTGCTGTATGGTGTGTGCATTTACTGGAGAGAGACAGAAAGAGAAAGAGAAAGAGAAAGAAAGAGAGAGAAGAAAAGCAAGAAAAGTGGGATTTTGAGCATACATGCACATGTGCCTGGCATGTTTTTCAAGCTACTGGATTGGGGACTCAAACTACATAGTCAGTTATGTAGGATCCAGCTGTTTTAACCTCTACAGCACTGGCTGGCCTATTCTCTTCTTTCTTACTCCCATATATAATTGCTTACCAAGGCCTGTCTGGTATTCCTCCTGAGTCTCACATCTGTCTCTCCTCTCCATTGCTGCTGCCTCTATTTAGTTTAAGCAGGACCACCTGTTCTCCAGAAAATTAAGAGAACTCTCACTTCTCTGTCTTAGTCCCTTCATGGCCAACCTCTGCCCAGAGTATTCTATCACAACTGCAAATCTCTGTCATTTATTTTCACACCATCCCCTGAGGTAGCCATCTTCCCTCAATAATACTGTATATAAAATCCTAGAACACTAACTGATAAAACTGAAGCTATTCAGCTAGGGAGGAACTCATGGGATGGGCTGAATGGGAGAGGAGCAAGAGACCTCCAACCAACTACTCAGTCTTCCTGAATCTCCCTCATTTCCACCACCAGCTCCATTCACAGCCTGAGTAACCTGTACAGAACCATGAACCATGGAACATAGCTTGAAAACTATATCTCTGAAAGACAGTTTAAATTCACATTTCCCTGCATGACAAAAAAGGTATCCTATAATTTAAACCCACTAATCTCTCTAGCATCAGCTCTCTTGTCATTGCCTCAGTTACCCTGTGCTCTATATCTGTGCTGACAATATGGTAGACACTAGCCACATATGGCTACTTACATTTATAATAACTAAATTTAAACTAAATAAAAAATTCAGTCTTGTTGACAAGTCACATGCAAGGGCAGCTCAGTAGTCACATGTGGTCAATGGCGACTATGCTGGATATCGCAGATACAGAACATGTCCATCATTGCAGGAAGTAATATCCAACAGCACTGCTCTAACAGTACCAGACTAATGCAGTTCCTCAAGCTCCATGTTCTTTCTCATAGTCTAGAGCCTTTGCATATTATCCTCTTTCTCTAGAATCGTCTCTGCTCTCTTATGTGGCAAATCACCACATACTCAAGATTCTGCCTCAAGGGCCAGCTCCTTAGTCCAGCAGTTAAGCAGGAGCCAGATCCCACATGGCCAACTGTGGTTCAAATCCTGGCTCCTATGACTCAAAAAGCATGCTGGAAGCATGGGTATGCAAGCCTAAAATCCCACTGGGATGACAAAATGGGGGAAAAAGGATTGTGGCATGGCCATGTCCATTGGGGGGCATTTTCCCTCTCCTTCCCTTACACTCTCTCTTGCACATGTGCCCAGACATTCTGGCAAATAAAAAAACAAAAAAACACTTCAGAAAAAGACTGCCTCAAGATTGCACTTAAAGGAAACCAGGATATGTCACCCCAAATATGCCTCTTTGACACCAAAACTATTTTTAGCTGAAGGCAGTTAAGAAGCAGGAAGTAAAGGAAAAGCTCTCACTATCCTCCCCCTTTTCTGCCTAAGCTTCATCAGAACAATGCACTTTTTATTATCTATCTTGTAAACAGAGTAAGTTGCTTTCAACTAGATTCACGCTCAGTTGAGGACTTTCTATTCAAAGGAACTGTAAGGTTCTATTTTCCATTCATGTTTCAATATGAATTGAATAGTTTTCAGTGATCTGATTTTTAAAAAATATTTGTCTAAAAAATATATTTTATTCTAGTAACCATCCAAAATCCTTTGGACACAAGGATGGAAAACCTGGTAATATTCTAATGATGGGACAGATTTGCAATGCAGTAAACTCAAAAAGTGTAAGCAGTGTCTTGATAGAAGTTTTGAGGGCACAGTAGTCACCAATGTCATCCCCACCCTTAGGGAAAAGTTCGTAAGTGAAGGTAATGATTAAACCATGCCCTGAAAGATAAGCAGGTGTCCACCAAGTGAGAAAGGTGGAGCAGGGTTGTCTCTGGGAATCCAAGTGGAGAGGGTGGCAGATAGCCTGAACCTTGACTCAGAAAACTGCAGCCATACCACCCTTCAGGCTTATGTTTAGGGCAGGGAGGAAAGGAGAGTGCAGTTTCAGCTTCAGAACTGCAGAGAGGCACAAATGTGGGAGGAGCCCTATAAGCCATGTTGTTATCTGGACTACTCTGAAAGTGTTTAAGACAGCAACACAATTAGATACACACCTTACAAAGGACAAACTGGCAATAATAGTCCAAGAGAAGACTGGATGGTAGCTGAGAAGACATCAATGACAGCAGAATCCACAATGGGTGAGGAGGAGTTACACCTTCAAGATGTTAAAGAGGAGTAGCCACAGGGGGGAAAGATCCAGAATTTGGTTATCGGTTGCTTAGGAAAAGCAAAGAGAAGGTTTTATGTTTGAATGACAGGAGGGTGTTAATGCCACCAAGGTAAGAAAGAGTAGAGACATTCCTCTCAGTCCAAGGTATCCCCCTTGACATTAGTCAATTAAGAAGTCTTCAAAGCAGGGGCCAACAGGTGGCATGGTGATTAAAGCACTGGACTCCCACATGGACCTGACAGCTTGCTCTCTCACTTTCCCTCTCTCTCTGTGTCTCTCTGGTGAGTATATATACCCTATAGCAAATTTAAAAAGAAATAATAATAATAATGATGATGATGATAACAATAAAATTAAATAAATAATTCTTTTTAAAAGTTCAAAGCAAGAACTATGTTATAGACTGTGTAAACTTAAGAAGAGACTCACTTGTTTACATGAATGTGTTCTTTCTGAGAAATTACTTATGCATTGAGCAATTGAATTACGATGAAAAGATTTAAATGCCATGGAAAAATGACAAAGTAAAACAAAGTAAGCCTGACCATGCTCATAATGCAGTTGCAATCTTACATAATTGACAATAGAGTTTCAAAGGCAGAATTGAAATGCATCCTTCCATAGTCAGCTCAAAAGCATTTTTGTCCATAAAACGTTCTTTAATTCCATCAGTTGAAAGTTGAATAGTTGCACAAAGTAGCTCTCTTTCTTCCTTCTCATATAGTAAACTACTTAAGGCAGAGAATCATTTTTTTTAGGTTGTTGTAGCTAGCCAGAGTGCTTTTCACAAAGCATATAGCTGGTGATTAATAAATATTTATTGTGGGACCAGCAGATGGCATAGTGATTATGTCACTAGACTCTCACATGGCTGACCATGGTTTGAGTCCCTGATCTGGCAGCTTGAAACTCATGCCAGGTGAGTGTGTGTGGGTGCCTAAAATCCCAAGAGGAGAGTAGAGGAGAAGGGATTGCGACATGGCCGTCTCTCCTGAGGAATAATTTCTTGCTTTCTATCCCTCTGTCTCTCTCTGTCTCTCCAGCAAGTGCACGCACCCTATAGTAAAAATCCCCCCCCAAAAAAACAAACAAACAAACAAACAAACAAACTAAAAACTCCCATCCATGTCCAAAATTCGAAAAGGAGAATGGAGGAGAAGGGATTATAGCGTGGCTATCTCTCCTAGGGGGTGATTTCTCACTTTCTCTCTCTCCATCCTCTCTGTTTGTCCAGTGAGCACATGAGCTCTATAGCAAAAATCTCACTTTAAAAAAAAAAAAAAAAAAAAGGATATTTACCTCCAGTGAGTCAGCAATTAGATTAATAGTTGCATCCTCAACAAGAGCAATAGTCAAACAATTGTGATATGCTATCTTCAAAGTGCCGAAAGAAACTCAACGAAACTGTCTTTCAAGGACAAGCATAACTTTAGAACATTCACAGGTAAAGACAGAGTTTTCTAGCAACCCTCATTAAAGATCTTGTGAAATATGTTTTTCAGGAAGAAGGAAACTGATCCCAGGGGACTAACTCAGATACAAGTTGGAATGATGAGTGAAGGAAATTATAAACACATGGTCAAATCGAAGCAGTCACTGATTACATGATAAAATATTAACAATGACTAATGCAAGTGTAAAAATAAGGCAAGATCAAAATGTTGGAATAAAAATAGTGTTTAAATTGAGAGAGACGTAGTCAGGGTTTGAAGCATTCTAAGACTCTACTGTCTAAAGGGAAAGTAAAGGTTTGATTAAGCTGAGACTAACAAGTTAAATAGGACTATGAGCATTAAAATTCTAAAATAACTACTAAATACATAGAAATAGAATGTATCATTTCCAAACTAGTTGAGGGTGGGGAAGAAATGTGGAATAAAGCGTGGGAGAGAGATTTTAAGTGAATCTATTTGCATGAGTCAAAAAAAAGCAAAACTAGATAATATACTTTTTGACATACACCAAAGCCTAAATTACACTTTCAAAAAAGAATGATTAACACAAAGCTGAAACTAGGACAGACCTCTCTAGGGGATGGATGGGAACTCTACACCCACATCCAGCTGGTTAGGACTTTAAAGGAAATAAACAGAAATCTAAAATTAATTTGAGAAGTCAATAAAGGGAGTATTTACAAGGATAGGAGCAGTGTGTAGAAAAATAAGTAAATGCAATTTCCTCTTGGCCAAAGCCAACCAGAAGTCAGAAGGCAAAGGTTGTCGTCGGTGGTGTCTACCTAGGTCTGCTCCCCAATGCAGAGTGTGTGGTGCAAACTGAAGCAGCGAGAGGCAGGTGGAGGGTAAACCCAAGCAATCTGCTATATGGAGTCCATTTCTTTCTTTTTTTTTTTTTTTCTTTTCTCTTCTTCATTTTATTTTCTTATTTTTTTACATTCAATCACTATACATCTTTACAGCATAAAAAATGGATTTTCCCAGCATGAATATCTATGTATCAGTCCAGTCTAAGATACTACCGTATACATTATTATCAACAGATAATTTTCTATTATTGTGTTCGTTAATGTTTTGCTTTTTTTTTCTCTTTTCTGCCCTTGATTCCCTCCTTTCTACTCCCTCCATCATCCACCCTCCTTCTCCATTGTCTCTACTAGCTACAGTTGCTCTCCATGCTTTTATGTCCTTATTTCATTCTCCTTCTTAAGACAGTAAATGGATGTTATTTATACTAGCTTGCATGCATGACATACTTTACAGCTCAAAAGCAGGAAAAAAAGACAACAAAAATTTTCTTTCTCATCAAAAGGTGAAAAATGTATCAAAAGTAGAAATGAAGAGCAAAGAATCAAGAAACGCTAAAATGGTAAATAATTAGCATTATTTTTTCTTCGCTGCTATCGCTGTCCTTTATCTCTATACAGTCTCTGCTATGTTCTGAATGCTTGCATCCCCTTAAAGTCATATGCTGAATTCCCAACTTCCAAGGTGATGCTGTTTGGAGACTTTGGTAGGTAATTTGGATGGAGCCCTCATTACTGGGATTTCTGCCCTTTGAAAAGAGAACATCAAAGCCAGCTAGTTCCTTCTACCATGTGAGGACATAGGAAGAAGGCATCCTCTCGGAACCAGAAAATGAATCTTCACCAAACATTGAATCAGCTGATGTTTTAATCTTGTACTTTCCAGTTTCCAGAACTATGGGAAATAAATTTCTATAGTTTATGAGCAACTTGGTTTATGGTATTGTGCTTATTTTTTATTTGTTTTAAAAGTTTATTTCTTCTATGAAAGAGAGAAACAAATAAAGAGACAGGGACCCCTACAAGGGTCTCCACATTGTGATCAGCCCCCAGTTTCAGTTGGCCTGGTTCATGGACATGTGCATGTGCTCAGGGAGGTCCTGGGATGCAAATTCAAGACCTTTCCCATGTGGGTCCAGCTGTGTTACTATTGCGCCACCACCTGGCCCTGGTTTAGTGCATTTTCTAAGAGTAGCTTGAACAGACTAAGGCACTCATTTGCAGAAATGATGGCAATATATGTTTTTTCCTTTCTTTAAAGTTTTTTTTCATAGGACACATACTGGGCATGCTTGTCAGAGAGAGACAGAGAAAAAAAGGGAAAGTGACAAATCATCCCCCCAGGGAGATGGCCACACCACAATCCTGTCTCCTCCAGTCTCCTCTCAGGGATTTGGCTCCAGAGTTCTTACCTGGGCTTCATTATAGATTCTGAAATCAAAGGTAAACGCACATGTATACGTGTAACCTAATGTCCTGGACAGCCTCACCTATATAATAATGGTTTTCTTTTTTTATTTCTAAGTCACAAATAGCTAGAGTCTCTAGAAGTCTTGAGTGACTAAAGCTCAATCTTGTGCCAGCTCCTGGTAAGAAATCTGGAAACTTTCAGGCATACATACATGTGCCACAAACCATGGTGGCTTATCATCTGGTAGCTTGTGTGTCAGCCAGACTTCTGTTGCTGGAGTGTATTTCCTGACTGTTGAAGATTACGCCTTGTTGTTTCATAAGAATAACTGATTACTAGAATCCTTACTTTAGCAAAACCGAGTCGTGCAATAACAATATAAAACACTGGTTAAAGTCACAGTCCTTAACGCCAAACCAACAGGGATTTGAACTCTGTGTCAAGCAGTTCTTAGTGGTGGGTAAGTAATAAACTTGGTGTTGGTTCTCATCTACTGTACAATGGCAGGATTATCATATCCTGAGAGTTCTGAGAATTAAATTCACTACAGCAAGTCTGAAATGTCCGGGGTCCTCTCTGAACAGTAGCCCTTGTGCACTGTTAATCTTTGGAACAGAGACTTCTAAAAAGGTCTGTGCAGTTCTAGTCCAAGATCTGTCAGCTAAAAAAACATACTGGGCTGGGGCAGGCAGGTGGCATAGTGGTTAAGATGCTGGACTCTCACCTGGCTGACCATGGTTCGAGTCCTGGACCTGGTGGCTTGAAACTCACACTAGGTGCAAGTGTGTGTGTGTGCTCAAAAGTCCTGAGAAGAATGGTAGAAAAGGGACTGCAGTGTAGCCATGCCCCCTAAGGGGGCGATTTCTCATTTTTTCTCTCTCTCTCTCGATTTCTCTGATGAACGCACATACCCTATAGCAAAAATCTCTCTAAAGAAAAGAAAAAAAGAAAAGAAAAGAAAAGAAGAAAGAAAACAAAATACAAAGACCCCAAGTATGTGGGAATGCTTGCCCAAAATCCTGAGGGGAATGCTTTCTTCGCTTTCTCTCTCTCTCCCTCCCTGTCTCTCTTCAGAAAGCATACAAGTCCAAAAGCAAAAAAAAAAAAAAAAAAAAAAAATTAATTCCACAGGACTCTTTCTTACATCCACGTTCTACAAAGCCAAAGACCAACATACTGAGTTACACCACTAAAGGCAATTATATGGAAAATTACACAAATTCAAGCAACATTGTTTAATTTTTCGTGATTTAATTTGAAATGGGCTTGAAACTGAAATCTTCCCTTTGGTGAATACTATACTTCAACTGTGGCCAAATATCAGTTATCTTAATGGCACTTTCTTACATGAATTCATTAACAGCCAACTCAAAATCGAGGATTTTTTGTGACTTCATAGAGTACAAACATTCTTGTTAACTGAGACTAGAGCCACAGCTTTAAGACTCCCAATGTGTACGGGACAAATCTTACTTCCTATTTGAAAAGTAAAAGGTATGTATTTTTTCCTAAAGAAATGGGATTTTTTTTCAACTCGGGTAAGAAGGTGGAAAACAAGGGTAGTGAGAATTCATCTCACAAAGCACTTCTCCTTTTTGTTCCTAGATTATCACCAAGAAGGACATGTTGTTTTCTTTAAAACAGGATGAGAGAATTTCTGCCTCACAGTCAAAACTTCTGCATTCAGTTTTGCAAAGCACACTCACAAGCAGTTGATGGTGTTTTGGTCAAAACTGAGAAGTTAGAGTATTTTTGAAATGACAGTCCCCAAGTACAAATACATCTGGCCTACTCTATTTAATCATCCAAATTAATATTTCTTTAATGCTCATGTACTAAGTAGTTATTACATGCTAAATTGTATTACCTTAAATACAGTTTACACAAATATGCATATAGAAAATACACTATGTTTCTATATGCATATTTGTCAAACATAGTTGTTTCTTATAATGAAACATAGTTTTCCCTCATAACAAATTTAGGAGGTGAGGAAGTTCAGGTCAGTATCCTACAGACATATCTTAAGAACTACCGTGTGTAAGGAGGTGTAAAGATGCCTCAGCTGGTCTAGTTCCTCACAAGATGAAGAACTAACACTCAGTGCCATCACTCGCTCTGCCCTAAACCGAGCCCAGAAATGTCATATTGAAAAGAAAACGGGGTGGTGTGGTAGTTAAGGCAGCGGGATCCCAGATGGCTGAGTGCACAGTTAGGATCCTGGACCTGGCAACTTGGAGAATACACCAGGCACCAGGTATGTGTGTGCCCAAAATCCTGAGAGGAGACTGGAGATGAAGGGATTGTGGGGTGGTCACCCTCACCAGGGGGTGATTTCTCACGTTCCCTCGTCTCTGTCTCTCTCCCATGAATATTAGTGCCTTATAGCAAAAAAAAAAAAAAAGAAAAGAAAAGAAAAAGAAAAGAAAAGAAAAGAAAGAAAAGAAGAGAAAAGAAAAGAAAAGAGAAAAAAGAAAGCAGATGACGAATCAGGACACAAAGATTCTGAGCAACTCTAGGCAAGACAAAAGAGGTTGCATCCTAGAGCTGGGAAGCGCATGAGAGCCACAGAGGGTGGGAACCTGCTTTCTGTAGTGTCCTCTCCCTCCTGTGTCTCGGCCTGGTCATTGCCGATCAGGGTCAGAGGTCTTACTATCACATCAGGACACTGAAACCAGTGGCTACGGAAACAAATGGAAGCAGACAAGGCAGAGGAGCTGCCTCCTGATCATTGCTCCCCCAGCTCTGTCCAGGCCACTCTTTGACAGCCCAGGGAGGCAGCTTTGGGGAAGGACATGCTAGGCTGAGGTTCAGGGAGGTTCCCGGAGAGTCAGGATATGGGAGTGAGGGGACAATAAAACAGGATTCCCCTCATGTTAACAGTCTTCAAGCCGAGGAAAGTCCCTCCACACTCAATTCTTACATGCACTTGGAAGGGCAAATGCTAGGATCTGAGCCTTTGCACCTTCCCCCAGATACACACAACCAGCTAAGGGCGCATGGTAGCTTCCTGGACAAATAACAGGAGAGCCAGTGAACCTCAAGCATTGCTGCATTTATCAATTATTGCCCCCTACCAGGAAACTTCAAAAAGTCCATGTGAAGATGAAATTAAAGTATGAGTTTTTTTCAAACACACAGAAAAACAAAACAAAACAAAACAAAAAACAAGAAAAGTTTTGAAATTCATGCATTGTTTTTTCAAAATACATATTTTCCATGAACAATTTGAAGACTTTCTCATACATCTTGGCACTAAATTGATTGGTGTATGTATTTATAGGGAAAAATAAAAACCTCCATGCTTCATAGTTGGAAATGACCCTTTGTCACATAAGACAGAGTAACAAGAAAAAAGCAAATAAAAGTTTATTAACATATATATTTCTTTTTTTTAGGAGAATTTTTGTGTTTTGTTTTGTTTTTGTTTTGGGTGAATGCACTCACTGAAGGGACAGGGAGAAACTGAGGGAAAGAAAGTGAGAAATCACCCCCAGAAGGAATAGCCACACCAAAATCCTTTCTCTTCCATTCTCCTCTTGGGATCTTGGGCACGCACACACACACATCCAGTGTGAGTTTTAAGCCACCAGGTCCGAGACTTGAACCGCAGTCAACTCCGTGGGAGTCCAATGATGTAACCGTTATGCCTGGTCTCAACATATATATTTCATATAAACATAGGAGACACCGAGAGAATGCATGGTGGCTTTAAAGAAGAGGCTTCAAGTTCCATGTCCAACCAAGAATAGTTAATTTTTAGAGGCGTGATAAAATAAAGGAAAAGGACTTTGTGTCTATAGGCAGAAACTTGGGGACAGGCAAATAAGTGGCACATAAAAGGATAATTAGAAAAGCTTGTTAATACAGACTTATCTGGTACTACCTCCAGGCTAATAAGAGCCCAAAGTTGTCTTAACCTTTGTTCTTCCTGTTGTGTAGAGAGTGTGATGCCGTGGGACTAGCAGGTGGTGTAACGGTTACACCATTGGACTCCCATGTAGTCAACCGCAGTTTGAGTCCTGGAGCGGTGGCTTAAATTCACTCCAGCTACGTGCGTGTATGTGCCCAAAATTCTGAGAGAAAACTGGAGGAGAAGGGACTGTGGCATGGCCATTCCAACTCGGGGGTGATTTCTCACTTTCTGTCTCTTTGTCTCTCTGGCAAGTACACACACCCTATAAAAAAATCTCTAAAATAAATAAATCTTAAAAAGAGGAGTGGGATGCCTTTTTTATATCCATATCTATTTCTTGTTCTGGGTGAATAGAGGGAGGGTAGAGAGTTTTCTTCTATCTGCTTCTTGTCTTCAGTCTAATTTTTTCTTAACTATTAATTAATTAATTCATTCATTCATCCTTTTTTTAAAGTTTGCTATAGGGCACATGTGGTCACCAGAGAGAGAGAGACAGAGGAAGGAAAAGTGAGAAAGCAAGCCACCAGATCTGGGACTTGAACCACAGTTGACCATGTGGTGAGTCCAGCACCTTAACCAGTTCAACTGGCCCCAGTTCAATT